ATGCGCATCCACGAGAGCGGAGTTGACCGCACTCCCGACACACCCACCACATCCAACACATCCACCGTGCACAACCGCACCCTCGCTCCATCCGTCTGCGCCACCACCACCACCGCCTCCTCTGTAGCTGACACTGACACCGCCGACATCTCATGCCCGCACTGTACACGCACATTCACCTCACGCATCGGCCTGGTCGGTCACTTCCGAATCCATCGCACAGAGACTGGCGAACCAGTGCCTGGAGCACCCACCTATACCCACCAAGCTCGTCTCAACTGCCCACACTGCCCTCGCACTTTCAGGCATCGCATGGGCCTATTCGGCCACATGCGCATCACGACGACCTGCGGTAGACAACCGCCGGTCACACCACACCTTCACTCACTCCCTACCACGTCCACCAACACCACCACCATCAACCCACCAGAAATCAACACTCACACACCTCATGCACCCAACTTCCAGCTCCCACGCAAGTGGGAAGTCCGCATCTCGACTCGGTCCCCATGCGGCTTCGGCTGCACGGGTGAATTGAGTCCGAGACTATCCCGACACGTCAAGTGTCGTGGATAGGAAGGTTGCTGATTGACGCCCGCTCTCGGTTCACGCAGTTCGTCGCGTTGTGTGTGTGTTTTGTGTGGAGTGGCGGACTGGTGGGCTGGGGACGGGCTGAAACAGCACCTTCCACGGCACTCTCACGTAAGTGAAAGACACGCCGTTCAACCCCCGTTGTGTGAAATCCTGGTGTTGTGTGTATGGGGGGCCAGGTCGTGCCGTGGCGCGCGCAGTCATGGTCATTCGACCATGACAGCCACCGCGCCCATCTCCCTCTCCAGTCTGCTGACCGGCTCGGACAGCGGCTGGGGTGTGGGAGTGGGAAGGGAGAGTGAGGTCGACGACTCAGCGCACTTTCTCTTCACTATAAACAATCTGACGCGCTTGAAACTATCACGGTGCGCTAAAAGCCGTGGCTTGGAAGGTTGCCAACTGACGGGGTAACTTGGACCTCCTCCTTGACCGGAGGTGGTCTGAGAGTCAGGCTGCAATGGCTCCTATTAAATGTGGCCTTTATGGCACTCCCATCACAGTGTGGGATCCGAGTCAGGCGTTGGCGGCACGCCCAGGTGCGGCTTCGGTCGTGCCAGCCTCCAATCTCTGTTGTGCTGCTTAAAATTCTGGTTATTTGTTGTGTGTACCAGGGGGTGTGGTGGAACGCCAAGGTGAGGATCCGTCCGAGCCATCCACCTGCGGCCTCTCTCGTCTCCGGTCTTCTTGACTCTGTCTTGACACCGGGCTCGGGCGAGGGAGGAGGAGAGAGTGTAGGTAGATGCTACGCAAGTCTACCGGCACTATAAACCACTTCGTAAGTCACCGTCCCTGCTCCCATTGCTGCTGCAACTGTGGGGCACACGATGGACATCATCAAAACCGATGGTCGAACTGTCATATCTGGCCGCTCACACAGACCATTACTGCCTACATTGGCCGCACTTTGCAAATTGACTCAATGCGACCTATGCTTGCATAGTACCAGTGGACGCTTTAAAATAAAATTATTACTCCGAAGACGGAGATGATATCACTGGAACAAGAAATGTATTCGCTGGACGTTTCGGACTCTCACTCGAGCTCATCATCAGATACAGTCGCAGATAAATGTCATGGTGGCACAAGGAGTGCAGTATTTATAGCACGGGACTGCGGTGGGGCCATGTGCGTACTGTAATTACCAGCTCCCGCAATCACCTCTGGGGTCGTAATTGATGCGATGGTGGCTTGTCAGTCTGCGTCTGAGTCGTTAATTGTCGTGATTTCGTCATCCGTTCTGGATGCTGGTGTGACGATTGCCCGGAAAATGGGCTCACTGTTGCTGGGATAATTGTTCAGCCGCGCCCTCCCCACGTGACTGATTTCCCTGTCTAGGAAAAATTCCAGCACGGAATATGGTAACGGGAAGTCATTGCACTTGTTAGTGGATTGCACTATAGCGGCGCGTTGAGACGCTCTAAAGTGAAATGGAAGACAAGGTTGTCGAATTACAATATCTTCGACGGGTACTGAGAGCCAATGGCTATCTGCGCAACTCTGTAAACCACTGCATACGAAAACGACACCAGACACCAAATCCAACCGACCCCAAATGTTGGACGCTCTTCCGTACGTGAAGAACGTCTCGGAAACCGTCAGTCGTCTTCTCACCCCACTTGGATTTGGGGTTGCACACAGGCCGCAAGCAACCATCAGGCAGCAAGTCATCAGGCCGAATGAACCACTGCCACGGCAGGAAACGTCACGAGTCGTTTACTGGATCTGGTGAAGTCGCGGACAAAGTAACTACGTCGGATGAGGTGGGAGATTACTCCATACGTGAATTGCCGAGCACGCAGCAGCAGTGAGGGGGGAGACGTTAGCTCTCAGGTGGCGGCTCATTCGACGGGACCCAAACATATTTTCAACTTTCAAGAGGCCTAAATCCTCGCAAGGAATGACAACCGCGGGAGCCGTGAGCTGCTTGATCCGTAGTTCTCAGGCCCGCAATCCATCAACAAGCGCAATGACTTCCCGTTACCATATTGCGTGCTGAAATTTTCCCTGGACAGGGGAATCAGTCACGTGGAGAGGGCGGGGGCGGGCAATTATCCCAAGCGACAGGGAGCCAATTTGCCGGGCAATCGTCACACCAGCATCCAGAACAGATGATGGATTTGCCGCAATTAGAGACTCGGACACGGACTGGCAAGCCATCATCGCATAGATTACGACCCCCGCGGTGATTGCGAGGGCTGTTAATCACAGTGTGCATATGGTCCCACCACAGTCCCATGCTATAACTACTGCCCTCGTTGTGCCACAATTACCTTTATCTACGACTGTCTCTGATGATGGGTTCAAGTGAGAATCCGAAGCGTCAGGCCAATAGATTTGTTGTTCCATTGACCTCATCTTCGTCTTCTGAACTGCTTCCTGGAACTCGCCTGTTCGCTTCTATCAGCAAAATTATTACTATTAACTTTTTTATACGCCAGGTATACCTTTCTTTAGAATTAACTACCATTCGATATTCTGCCAGGGTCCAGTCTTTCGGTATATAGAAGAGATCTGCGCATTTATCTTAACAGTGATTCGGGCAACTCCTTTCATTCCCTTTCTTCGCTAGCAACAATCTCTAAGACATCAAGGAAGATCCACTGGTGATTTATAAATGTACTTCATACCAATTCTGCAATCAATGCCAATCCATTATACGTCAATATACTCTTGTGGCATACGGATTAATTGCAAATCTTCCTTGTCCGATTACACTCTTCACTTCGCACTAGACTCCGTTCACTAATGACCCCTTTACGGAAATATAATCCCTGGCAGATTTTATTAATTACTTTTAATCAACATAATTCCTTCTTCTCTCACGACCACTTAAATGTTTGCCTCAAGTAGACTGCATTGATAGTGTTCTCAGAGAGTCTAAAAACAAAACGACTATTATTGCATTTACACTACTTATTTCTGCAACGTGAACAACAAAAGCAATGACGTTGACTCCTCGGGGTCGTAGGTGGATGCAATTTTAGCTTAAATACGAGTTTCTTCTGAAAATTGAGACTTTTGTGTGCTCAGTTTAATCCCCCAGTGACCTGTCTAAGCATTTGTAGCGACAGAGTAGGGTGGCATGTGTAAGGGCTTGTAGGCATCAAAGGCTGGGGATGGGGGTTTTGGCTCCTCGGGTCGGGAGGTCAGAGTTATTTCCTCCAAAAGTTGATTTATGCCTTCTTACATACTGGTAAAGGATAAAGGCGGCGTAGACAAAATAACAGATAAGTGAGTAGATAGCAAATGATTTATTATAAAAACGTGACTACAAAGACGATAAAATAGACTCCAGCAGATCTAGATCTGATAATGACAACTTGATGCGTGAATTTTAGCGATGCGGCAAAATGCACAGGTCAATAGAATGATACGGAAAAAGGATATGTAAATAAAGTAAACGTCTCGATATAGAAAATAACAATAATATCTGGGGGAAATAAACAAACATAGAGACTTAGCGGAACGGCGCGTCGGTAAGCGTCAAGTCAAGTCCACGAGACCGCGAATTCTGAAAAGGGGGGAGGGGCAGAACGAAAAAGTCCGGTTAAAACAATCGTCCGTTACACATTGACTCCAACAAGGTTTTTTGTGAAGGGACCGTCTCGTAATCTGCTAAAATTGTTATATCACACTTGAGCGAGATGCACCAACCGAAACCTCACTCAGGCAGATCGTTTACACATAGTACAAGGTTCCCTGGCGAATTGAATATCACGTCAATTTTCATACCAAACCGCTCAATTTCGAGTGTTATTTTGTTTATTTCCCCTTAACGACCCCCACCGACTGATGCTCAGATAAAACATTCTATTCTACATATTTAATTGTAAGAGTGACCGGTTCATCACAGATCCGATGTATGCTAATTGTTATCTGGTAATTCAGCTGATATGTTAGACACTCAGCTGTATATTGGAAGAAAACTCCCTAGGCAATATGACTAAAGTTTGTCGGTAAATAGTCGATGGTTATTCAGGGCAATTCTCTGTCCATGTCAAATAAGACGGCCCCGGCATCATGGGTCTGACCGAGCTTCCTGATAAGGATATTAATCGTATAAAGGACGTTCGTGGGGTCACAGCAACAGTTAAGAAAGCCAAGTGACAAGTGGTCAACAATTTGTCTCCAGTGAGAACGGCCATTCTATCTTATTTGACGAGTTTCGGCCGCATCACAAAATTAAAGCAAATTCAAGACTCCTAGATGCGCTGTTCAAAAATAAGATTATTCGCTATTTAGTAAATTTTAATTTACTTATTATAGCACAGGACAAATTCGTAAGAACCCGGTCTCATGCTATCCACCAGTTCCGTTTCTTCAGTTATATTTCAAAATTTGCATTGTTTGCATACTCTTCATTAAAACCTTTTGTCGCGTGGAACGTCATTTTCCCTCTCTGGAAGGTTTTGTCTTCCAAGCCTGTGGAAAGATTTTAAAAATTCGCCCCCTTTTGCCTCACTTTCCGCACTGAGCACGGCGCTATCTTCTGATCCACATACATGAGAAGTGGGGTTAGTAAGTGGAATGTGTCTGGTTTGGTCTTTTTGCCTTCTTGTCTGAGACGTGCCGGATGTGTCAGTAACAAAGCCTTGACATAGGACTAAGGGATTTCCCCATCGGGCCTTCAGATCGAAGACGCCAGAGGGTTACAAATAAACTTCAATTAAATCTATAAAACTGACCAGTACAGCAGCATCACACAGGCCCTGTCATATCATAAAACAATATAGTCAGCTCCTTCACCCCGCACCTTCCGCCCACCTAGACCAGTCGCCTCAAAGGCTCCAAGCCGTATGATCTCAGTACCATCAAATTTGATGATGCGTTCCTTTTGGTTGTAGGAGTTGCCACCTACGAACTGAAGTCCACCAGTTGGTGTTTGGGTATCCGGATATGCAGCTGCAGATCAATTTCTTGTATACGTTGTATTAACGTTTACAGACAACGCATTAGATTGCTATACTCAAGAACTGTATCCTTTGGTTGCATCACTTATTAGCTGCGTTTGGACAGGCCCGTTGGTGTCTCCAGTTCCGACTGGTACGGGGGATCGCTCCAATGTTTGGGTCGCACCTTACGCAAACTGCTTCGCCCATTATGATCTGCACTAGATGTGCCGCTCAATGCGGTGCCCTAAGTGCATTCAACTTCTGTCAAGAAAGCCCCATATACATCCGTTATTTCGAAAGAACCATCAAACTGATTGACATTGCCTTGCTTGGTGGCCCACATGTTTAAGTAAGTTTCCGCTCACTCACGGAAAGTGTTTGTGCGCTTTTATTTGTGTTGTGGAGGATTGGTGATGCGGTATAATATGTGAAGTGTGCGTTTGTTGGTTAACTTTGGGCTGCTGTCGTCAATTGGCGGTCAGACTAGTAGCAGATAAGGACTTCCGTCGATGAAAATTTATGCCCACTTTTTTCCCTCTGTCCTTTGTATCTCCTAAGCAAGAAATTCCCGGAGTTGTTAAACCGTACCTAATGTAATACTGAACAAAGCAAATGTTTCAGGGAAACTGGAAGACCGATTCGGACGGGGATTGCCGGACACGCAACAGGAGTGACGAGGAACGACGTCAGCAACCAAATCGTGGCTCATTCAATGGTGCCCAGTCAAACGCTCAAGTTCAATGAGGTAGGCATTCTCGCTAGAGGTGACAACCGAACGAGTCGCAAACTACTCGAATCATGGTTTTGAGCCCCCTGACAAGTAGCAGGTGCGCAGGCTTCCATCGCCACATTTTGTATCGAGACTTTGTCTAGGTAAAGTAGTTGACTCCGTGAGGAGCGCCCTGGCAATCATTGTTTCCAGTGCCATTTCCCCTAATTCAATTTGCCCGTGATGAAGGATGAAGGAAACAACTGACTAACCTTCATTCATGTCCTCCTCTGCGACGAAAATTATGCTGCCGTCAAGTCAATGACCTACTGTCAAGGTAGAAAACGCCAGGAGTCGTTGCTGGCAAATCAATAAAATCGGAAATGCTGCGCGATAACTGGGAGGTGGGGAGATAGGTGAATACGCAGTAGCGGAGGGGGCGAGAGGGGCCAACTGTCAAGTTGCAGCTCATTTGATGGGATTTAACCAGACCTCTAAGTCTGACGAAGTCTCACGAAGGGTGAAAACCGCGTGAGCCGCGAACTGCTTGGGTCGCGGTCCTCCTGTCTCTAGTATGAAAGCAAGCACATTGACTTTCTTCCTTCATGTTCAGTGCCGAGACCTTGCCTTGGCAGAGTAATTGGTGCGCGCTTCCCTGCGCGCGCTTCAAGCTCTGCTTGCGTAAAATTTCCCTTTCCTATTCCAGCGAGTGGTCAAATTAGGTATGCTAACGGATATTGTTTTAGTAAGCTAAACCTACGGTATCAATCAGGTGGGGCTACAGAACCAAACCTCGCCGAGTAATTAGCCACACGGGCGGGGGTGAGTGGTCATTGCCTCCGAGGATATAACTAGTGGTCCAAATTGTCGAGCTATCATGATGCCACCAACCAAGATTAGCGATGAAATTGAGAAAATTCGTAATCATGATTCGGAAGTAAATTGATAATAGCAGCAACTTTGACTACCGGCCATGAATGAGCGGTCGGTAATTTTGAGGCGCACGCAGACACGTCCAAAAGCCGCAACCCTTATGGGTGTACCACCTCTATTTGCTACTGGCTCCGACCAATGGATTCAAGTGTCTGAAACGCTAGAGAAGTAAAATTCCTCCAGTGATCTCATCCTCCTCTTCGCAGAGACGACGCCGCTGAGAAGATATGTCGCTCGGTATTTTGGACGTGTAAGGGCCCTGTTTCGGTGGACTGTCGCATAGAGTACATCTGACCGACCTTTATCAGCGGGGAGATTGATTGTTTTCATTCATTCTTTTAATGTACTCCAATTCTCCCGCACCGATTTGTTACACTGTCGACTGAGAATTAGCAGCGATACGGCCCAATAGCCGAGGAGATGATTTGACTTATTTTGAAATTTCAAAATTTTGAAAACTGTTCCAAAGGAAGCACTGTAACTAACCCGACAACATCGGTGACGTTAAAAACATATTCACACCGAAAGACATTTTCTAAGTATGGTTCACAAACGACCGCTTCAGGTCCGTAGCCGAAAAAGATGTCAGTAGAATCGGATTTGTACAGTTAGTGTCAACTACCCTTTACTGATGCACGTAGTCAGTCCCAGACTGCGTGTATGTGCCAGTCCATACTTCTGACTGTTGTAGACCGAATGATTCGCTGACATCTTGCGAGAACTTTGTATTTCATCGGCAATTCATATGCATTCATTGGTGCTGACTTTTCGTTCAAGCAAAATTCCTCTTTAAAGTGCAGTCACTAATGCTCATATACAAACTTTCCTCAATTTGAAAAATTGCGGATTTGTTTTAAACGTCATCATGCACAACAGTTTCCGACCTTTGCATTGGTTATGTCCCCATCTCTTCATGTCTCGCCAAAAATCGATTTCAAGTCTAGGTGCTTTTAAATGGCAGTGACGCCATTGACCGACTGTGAGCTGGCGACGGTTGAGATTGCTCTTA